AAACCAAAGCAGTGGGGAAATCAAAAGTAAGACAGACAAAGTTAAAGAATATTTATTAGCAAGTCTTAATAAATTCTATCATTCCATAACAAATTGTTCAGAAAAAACTGGGAGCTATACTATTATTAGCCTAGTCAAGCCTTCTACTAGCTTAAATCTATCCCCATGTTCCCATTATATCTTTTGTCATAGAAATGGTTTTGAAGTCTAATCATTCAAAAAGTCACAGCCATTGTCTGTGAAACAAGGAATATATATGCCATCACTAAATAACTACAGAATTGTGGACAAGTCACCAAGCTTCTCTGAACCACATCAGTTAAAAGGCTAATTTATTTTTAAAAATAATCTAAAAAGTAATCTAGCAAATTAGGCTTACATTTCTGAAGATTTTAAAAATTCTTCTAATAGTTCAGCATATTCCAAAAACCATGTAAAATTCGGAAGTATCAATCATTTTCAGTCTTACTTTTTTTCAGTTCAGCCAGTAATAGTGCTTAACAAGCTTTTTTGTGAGGGAATTCTTACCATCATCCTTAGTGGCAGCCTAGATCTAATGCATAAAGTTGAAAGCCTTTAGAACTTGCTCATTTGATAACACAGTAGATTCATACAAAGCATTCATATAGTTCAAATTCAGAATTACTTCATCTCAGAATAAATGATGTTATCAATATTCTTCAAGATGCTTGTTATAAAATGCAATATGCAAACATTGTGTCAAAATATTGTCTCATGTAGTCAATAACAAGAGGCAAATAACTGAAATGTGAACAATTAATAGTGCTGTTTGGATTTAGGGGTCATTTCTTTACAATGTCAGTTATGATAGCTAATTGTCTTGGTCACTATTCTATTGCTGTGAAGACACACAATGATTAAAGCAAACATTATAAAAGAAAGAAGTTAATTGTGGATTTACTTACAGTTTCAAAGACTTAGTCCATTATCATCATGGCAGAGAGCATGGCAGCAAACAGACATGGAGCTGGAGAAGTAGCTGAGAGGTACAACATGATCCTCAAGCAGAGCTTTTAAAACCTCAAAGCCCACCCCCAGTGACACACTTCCTCCAACAAGGCCAAACCTACTCAAACAAACCCACATCTTCTCATCGTTCTCAAAGCATGCCACACCTTGCCAACTAAGCATTTGAATATTCGAGCCATTCTGATTTAAACCTTCATACTATTAAGCAGTCATTATTGAGAATGTCTATGAACAGATATATGATATGGTCTCAGCACACACAGTTGGAAGGAGAAAATCAGTATCTATCCTTATTCCTGCCTCTTCTGGGCTCTGTAGTTTTTTCCCCCTTCTGCTTAAACAAACAAACTGACTTCACTCAACTACAGTGTGAGTTAAACTTGAAAACAGATTTTCTGCTTCCTAAATCACTTCCTAGATTGTCACATTACTAACCTAGGGCTATTACTTGAAACTTAAGTAAAGCATCACATCACAGTGAGTCCCCAATAAATCAAGCTCACTTCCAGTGTAAAGAGAAAGGAAAGGTAGAAAAGAGACTTCACCAAGACTCCAGAGCAGCGATTCTCAACCTTAGGTTGACTCAACTGAGAGGTTGAGCAACTTTTTCACCTGTGTTGCCTAAGACCATTGGAAATTACATATAATCACATTACAATTCATCAAATTAGCACAATTACAGTAATGAAGTAGCAACAAAACTAAGGTTATGGTTGGGGGTCACAGCAACATGAGGAACTGTATTATAGGATCCTGGCATTAGTTAGGTTGAAAACCAGTGCTCCAGGAAAAAGAGAGGGGGATAAGAGGAGGGTAGAAGAAGACATGGGAGAACAGGAAGGTTGAGTCGGGGTAAGAATAGAGGAGACCAGGATGAGAGATACCAAAATAGTTGGAGTCATTATAGTTTTGAGGAGAGAGCTGACACCAGTGAGATTTCCAGAGATCTGCAAGGATAACTCCAACTAAAACATTAAGTAATAGAGGAGAGACTACATTAATATCCCCTACCTAATGATAATCTTGATGACTTCCTTATATGACATCCTAGAACCTACATCCAGTGACTGATGGAAGCAGAGACAGATACCCATAGCTAAACACTGTACTGACCCCCTGGAATCCAGTGACAGAGATGGAGGAGTTATGAGGAAAGGGGTCAAAACCGTGCTGGTTAAACCCACAAAGACAGCTGACTGGACAAGGGGGAGCTCTTGAACACCAGACTGATGGCTAAGAGACCAACAGGGGACTGATCCAAACTCCATGAATGTAGTGTCAGTGAGGGGGTCTCAGAAATCTCTGGGACCTAGATTAATGTTCACCATGGCATACAAATGAACTTTAGCAGCCGATTCTACATGGAAGGATGATCTCTCAGCCTGGACACATGGGGAAGGTCCTAGGTCCTGCCCTGGATGAAATGACAGACTCTGGAGATCCCCCCCAACAAGGGCCTCACCCCCCCCGGGGAAAGATGTGGGGATTGGGCTGGGGGTTGTGGGTGGGACTGGGGCTGGGAGGGAGAAGGGGGTATCTGGGATTGACATTTGAATCATACATGTTTCTAATTTAAATATAAAAGGAAAAAACAAAAGATAAATAAGTCAGTTTTGAAAAAAAAGAAAGTGTGTCAGATGAGAGCATACAGTTCATATCCTAGTTTATATGCAGAGTATGCTCACAGTTTCTCAGTAGACAGAAATATAACCAGTGAATCATATATTAAGTCTATCGGTATTTTATGGACATTAGAATTTGGAGACATGTCAAATGCAGAATTGCTAAGCGTAAGAAAAACTATTAGCGAGCCTATTTCTTTTAGGAACTACTGGATGCATTGTTTTTCATTCACAACTGGCACAACAAGGACATTTTCATTTTAGTTTTATGCGTATGGGTCTTTGCTTTCATGCATATTCACGCAACTCTCACATGGCTAGTGCTCATGGAGCCACAAGGAAAAAACTGGATCTTCTGAATAGGAAGCCTCAGTCCATTGTGAGCCACCATATGGGTGCTGGCAATTGAATACAAGTCCTCTGGAAGAACTGAGAGTACTTTTAACTGTTGAGCCATCCCCTCAATCCCACAAAAAATCACATAGTTTTGAAATAATGAATGACAGCACTAGTTACAGTGAAATTTATAATAATTTCCTTTGTGTTTTCAGTGAATTAATAAATTTATGACTCTTTTCATTCGGCTATGCTTTAGTTCTTTTTTGACAATAAATTTCTGGCATTTATTTGTTTGTTTATTTTACTCTTTGTTCATACATTGCATCCTAACTGCAGTTTCCTTTCCCTCAACTCCTCCTGTCCTTCCACCTATCTCACCTCTCTCCACATGGAAGCCTCATCCTTCAAAGAGGAGCATGTCTCCCAAGCACATCCACTGAACATAGTGCTATCAGTTACAGTAAGACTAGGCACTAACACTCATTTCAAGGCAGGACATGGAAACCAAGTAGGATGAAAACAGTTCCAAGGGCAGGCATAAGAGTCAGAGACACCCGTACTCCAACTGTTGAGAACCACATGAGAACACCAAGATATACAACCATAAAATATATGCGCAGATTCCTGTTCAGAGTCATATAGGGTATGTATTTATTACTTCATTCTCTGTGAGAGCCTATAAGCCTGCTTACTTGATACTGTGGGTCATGTTCTCATTTAAGGATCCTAGGGTTCTTGCAATCCTTTCCTTCCCCCTCCTCTACAGGTTTGCTCCTGGCTCCTAACAGTATGTCTGTGGGTCTCTGCATCTGCTCCCATCAACTGGTAATTGATAACTCCCTGATGATGTCTGGGCTAGGCACCAATGTATATGTATAGCAGAAGATCATTAGGAATTATTTCACTGACTTTATTGACTTTTTTTGTTTTTGTTAGTCTGTCCTACCTCTGGTTCCTGGCCGTCCACTTAATGGAAGAGAGAACAGGAAATAGCATTGAACACATTTCCACAGGAGACAACTTTCTTAACAGAATACTAATAGCACAGGCACTGAGACCAACACTTTTTAAATAGGACCTCATGAAAAGGAAAAGCTTCTGTAAGGCAATTGATACTGCAATAGTACAAAACAGTAGTCTACACAATTGGACAAGATCTTCATCAATTCCACATCCAACAGAGAGCTAATATGCACAATATATAAAGAACTCATTAAATGAAACATCAACAAACCAAATAATTTGATTTATAAAAAATTGGACATGTATCTAAACAGAATTTTCAATAGCAGAATCTCAAAGGGGTAAGAAATATTTAAAGGGAGAAGTTCAGTCTTGTCTCAACTTGATGTGGCATGCTTTGTTCAAGACCCTGAGAGGTCTGCCCCTTTCTGAATAGAGACTGAGGAAGAGTGGAAGGCCTGGGGGTATATGGAAAACATGAGGGGTAGGCAGATGGGGCCACTAGGAGGAGAGGAGGGAGGGGAAACTGTGATCAGTATGTAATATAAATAAAAAACTTATTTAAATAAAAAAACACTAACAAAGGCTCACCATCTTTAGCCTTCCGGGAAATACAAATCAAAATTCCTTCCAGATACAATCTTAACCCTGTGAGAATGGCTAAGATAAAACACACACACACACACACACACACACACACACACACACACACACACAAAATTGACAGCTCATTCTGGAAAGAATGTGGGGCGAGGGAAACATTCCTTCATTGCTCCTGGAAGTGCAAACATATACAGCCAATGTGGAAATCAATACGGCAGTTCCTAAGAAAATCGGGAAATCAAACTATCTCAAGACACAACTATACCACTTTTGGACATATACCCAAGTTTTCTCCATCCTACCACTAGGACATTCGATAGACCGTGTTCATTGAAAAAAAACTAATAAAAAAAACAAAAAACAAAACAAAAAAAAAAGACCACTAGATGTCTCATATGAAGAACATATGAAGAAAATGTAGCACAGTTGCATAATGAAGCATTACTAAGCTGTTAACAACTATGACATCATGATATTTTGCAGGCAAATGCATGAAACTAGAAGAGATTATACTGAGTGAGAGAACCCAGACCCAAAAAGACAAACGTGGTATGTATTCTTTTATAAGTGGATATACTGTAAAGTAAAGGATAACCATGCTATGATCCACAGACCCACGGAGGCTAGGTAACAAAGAAGACCCAAGGAGGAATGCATGGATCTCCCTGGGAAAGGGAAACAGAATAGATTTTTTGCTTCGGACTGATAGTGGTTAAGAATGGAAACAGGACGGGTCAGACAGGTAGTGTGAGAGAGTAATGGAAGACACAATTAGAATTGGGGGATATTTGGTGACTTATATGGAAGCCCAATGCAGTTGACATAGTCTCAGACCTACAAGAGTGACCTAGTAACTCTCTCCTAGTACTTGGGGGACAGACAATCCAAACTACTAATTTTTTTTCTTATAACCAACAATGCTCCTAGCAGTGGGACTGGGACATCAACCCAACTACAAAATATTTGACCTACCCTCTGTACTGCTGCAAGATGTGCTGATGTAATGGTGGCGCAGAGCTTGTGGGAGTGGCCAACCAGTGAATGGTCCCACTTGAGGCCTTGCCACAAGAGGGAGCCTATGCCTGACACTACCTGGATAACATTTAATTCTGTCCTGCTATATTATTTTTCATAAATTCCTCAAGAATTTCATGTAATGTATTTTGATCATACCTACCTCCCACTCATCTCTTAAACTAGTCCCATACCCACAGTTAAACTCTCCACTGCCCTCCAGCTTCTGTCTTTTTTTTTTCTTTTTTAAATTTAATCCACTGGGTTCAATTCCAATTTGTGCTGCCTATCTGTTCATAGGTCTTGAAGAGCCACTGGAGCAGAGCTGACCTACGAGGGACCACACCTGAGTCAGAAAACTGACTCTTCCTCCCCTAGAAGCCATGAACTCTCCATAGGTCCTAGGGTATCAGACTGGGCTCAGGAGCCACTTTCCATTCTAAGTTAGAAAGATAGATGGCTTGATCTTGTGAAGTTTTTGTACAGACAACTGCAGCTGCTGTGACATCATGAAGGCAGTGGTCCTATCATATGCAGAAGACACCTTCACTCTTGTCCTTCCAGATCTGTGAATATTGCAATATTTCCAACCCATTTTTCTATGATGGTCTTGAACTTTGATAGCAGGGAGACAAAGGTATACAATTTGTAATTGCCTGAGCACTCCAATTTCATTATAAACAGAAATGCACATAAATGTAAATTTATCTTTTACATTCAAATGAGTGAGTTTTATGACTATATATTAATGTAAATGTCTATCAATATAAATTAATATGTACACACACATACCAGCAAGTGTATACTTATAGTCTTCCATAAGAATACATACATATATATCCACATTTTTTTCATGACATAATCTAAACATTAGTAAATAAATTCAGCTTGCAGCATAAGATTGCCATTGGCCTTTGGGAATCAGGGAGTGAAATGTTGCTTTAGTAAGAATGTCCTCCACAGGCTCATATATTTGAAGACTTGATCACCAGTTTGTGGTGCTGTCTCAGGAGATTATACAATCTTTAACAGGTTTAGCCTTGCCAGAGGAAGTATGTCACTAAGGTTAAACATGTTTCTCAATTTTTAATCATATTAATATAAAGTAACTATTAAAGAATACAATAAATGTTTTAGATTGTCCTCCAAATACCTATGTTTTCAGCTTCCATAGAATACAATAAATGTTTTAGATTGTCCTCCAAATACCTATGTTTTCAGCTTCCATTTATGTTCAGCTCCTTTAGCTCCAACAAGTTTGACTCTGTTCCTTTCCATGTTCCCATGAAATCCCACATTTCATAAGAAAATGTTTGGTATACAGAATTTCATAGTTTGTTACTAGCTAAAGTGTGACGATACTTTGTGCTTTAATAAGTAAAGCTTGCGTGAAGATCAGAGTTGGGAGGTAAGCCAGTAGTTAACCATGGAAGCCAGGCAGTGGTAACATATGCCTTTTATCCCAGCACTCAGGAAACAGAGACAGACAGGTCTCTGTGAGTTCAAAGCCAACCTGGCCTACATGAAATTGAATCCGTCTAAAAGAGAAACAGAGCTCATACCTTTGATCACAGCATATGGATAACATGCCTTTAGTCCCCGAACTAGGGAAGTGGAGACTGGAGTGATATGGCTGGGTGGGGAGAGGAATATAAGGCAGGAGACAGGAGCTTGGACCATTCGGTCTGCGTATTTCTAGGGACAGGATTGCCCTATATGGTCTGAGGATTCACTAATGGTAACAACTAGTGGCTGACTCCTTGTCTCTTTGATCGTTCAGCATTTACCCTGATATCTGACTCTTGCTTTTTATTATTAAAACGAATTAGAATTTGTATAACACTAAAGAACTGTAAATAATGTTTGAATATTCAGGCATGTGTAGCAAGTATTCAATGTACTATTGTTTTTGTCATCATAAAAATAGTAAATGGTTTGTTTAACGTAAATGTATCTTAGAAATGAATGTATTCATTAGAATGATGGCACAGATATTGACAGCTGGCTTTGTAAGGTTAATGTGTATATAAGAATATCCATCCATATATAGACAATTTCCATGTTTCTGTGCATGGATTTCTTTGTTACCTATACTTATCACTCACTTATACTGAATAATATTTCTTTAACAAGTACTCAATACCCACTACTCTGTTTCCAGATGTCCCTGTGCTTGGCAGATTTGATGTGCCATGTCCCATAAAAAGCTTATGAAACTGAACTGGTACTGGCCCCATGTAAAACCTTTATAATTAAGAGTTATATACAGTACATGTCACAGAGTGTCTTTGGCAACAAATTAACACCTAACATTCCCACTGGCAAAGTTGACCTCAAAAATTTGCCCTTGAAATCCATAAATGTATAGCTTTGTCTGACTTCAGCAAGTTCATGTAAAACCTTTATAATTAAGAGTTATATACAGTACATGTCACAGAGTGTCTTTGGCAACAAATTAACACCTAACATTCCTACTGGCAAAGTTGACCTCAAAAATTTGCCCTTGAAATCCATAAATGTATAGCTTTGTCTGACTTCAGCAAGTTCATATGAATGTGCTTCACAGATAAGAAAATGGATCCTAGCTACATACACAAAGGGAAAACAAAACTCCAAAGAGAGAAAACAATGGGACTACACAGTACAGATGTACAGACACACATTTTGTAGAGATTTGAAATAACATCTTAGATCAAATGAATGTTTCCCCTGAAAGAAACTAATTAGGAAAAGATAAGGGTGGTTTTAAAGGATATGAAATGTAGTGAACATACTTTGGCTGCTTATTTTAAAAAGCTTTAGGGGCGTTTGTAAGATAGCCACATTTTAGTAATCCATATCTTTTGTGAGATTAAATCTGTCTGATGGGAATATTCTTGCCCAGATAGAATAAAGAGCACTGCAAATTTGGTAAGGAACAGGCTATCTTTATTAAAGTATTTATCATTTTTACAGCTGGAATTGGTATTAATATTTCAACAAACAATCCCAGTAAGCCTTATCTTCTCTTTGTTGACTTTAGTTAAGCACTGTCAGCAGTAGGCTATTTAGAACAGCTTGGCCTGCTCAAGCAGAATAATTCATCTTAGAACTTATAAAAAAATAAGCTCACTTTTAATATTCAGCAGCAGCATGCCAAAGTAGAAACACAAACTTGGTCTAGAGGATGTACAACTTCAGAAATGTTATTGATGGTCTGCTTTTCCTGTTCTGTGGAGACATTCAACAACACAGACAGGGTATAAATTCTTTTAACACTTTCAAAACACAGAGATACTGAGCTCATAGATATTTTTTTCTTTGTAATCATAGGCTATTAAATACAAGTGACTCAGAACTTATTTGATAAAATCTTGCTGAATGTAAGAAGAAATCATTAAGAAAAAAGAAATAGAGAAACCAATGCTTTGAATTTAAAAATTATTTTGAATTTTGTGTTTTAAAACTATCTAATTGTCATTTGAAGCTGTGAAGAAATTCAGAGACCAAGTGCCCTCATTCACAAATGCCTTTGTTTAAAAAACAGTATGATTATGATATAAGATTAGTTTTAACTACTTTCTTGAATGTAGTAGATTCAAGATTCTGATCATTGAATCTACTATACAATTATTGCTACACTTAGGTGAATGATTTCAGTCATAAATCAATCATTCTGGAAAAATCATGTTAGGTCAATAATGTTTTAAAAGATGAATGACTATAAATTACTTCATTGGGCCACTCATCTTATGAAATTACATTGAGAGTGTATGGTTTAACTTGGTATTTAACTGCTTTTTTATGCAAGCACAGTAATTTGAGGCTGACTCTTGAGCTTCCTGGACACCACTAATCCTATATGAGTTTCAGAAGAACAGCCCCTAGAGAGCATCTGGGACAACAGATTTCACCAATTCCTTAGGGTAGAGGGCTCTATGGAGTTACAAGTTACCAGGCACTGATGTGTGCAAGCAAGTTTTACAAGTTATTTTGCTAATGGTTATTGTCCCACGTACTTGACAGTAAAATGAATTTTACTATCACCATAATAATTTATTAAAAACAATAGGAATTTGTCATTTCACTTTAGGTATAGTGCAACTTAGATTAAATTATTCACATTATAGACTATATCCCCATAATATTTATACATGCACATGTGAAAATGCTAAGCACTGATATCACAGTATTAGAAGATGATTCCTATGTAACTGAGGTTGAGACAAGATCATGAAAATGAGCCTCCAACAAAAAGTGATCTGAAAACAGAAGAGTAGAGTCTCAGAGTCTCTCTCTCTCTCTCTCTCTCTCTCTCTCTCTCTCTCTCTCTCTCTCTCTCTCTCTTTCCCTCTCTCTGAGCAAAGGAGTAGCCTTTTTAAAGCATCACTTCACATGACTTTGAATTTGTCAGCAACATGATCTTGAATATTCCAGCTTTATAAATTGAGATATAAATACTAAATATATATTTATGTATATATAAATATATAAAACCCCAGTTGGTGGGATTCTGTCTCAATCACCCTCTTTAAATAATGGTGTCTTCTAACACACAAGGCATGGTAACATTACAATATTTGCATTAGTCACATCTGTAATATTTCTCTGCAATCTTTGGCTGTCTTTATTGATGATATACATATCTTGCTATATAATATTGCAAAAGATGTTGATGATTTCATTTCATTTTCCAATATGTGGTTAGAGTGGAAACAAAATAGTTGTGTGTGCATTGATCTCCTTTGCAGAACACTCACTGGTTTCTACAAATTCTAGAGAGCTGTGTCTCACAGGATGCAAAAATTGGAAAGTTGACAACAATTTTACCTTGAAGTAGTGGCATTTTATTCTATACACACCCTTGTATTTTCATTCATGTAATGTGATTTCAGAAACCCTACGATCAGGAAATATATTTTTTCCTCCTTTTATTAAGATTTATTACCTTTTCAAACTTTTTTTTGTAAATATAATACACTGACTTAAATCACTCAACATAAATTTATGGCAATTTTTTTGAGGTCACACTAGACTTAATATTAACATTTTATTGTGTCTTAATGGAAAATTTGATTTTTCTTCATATCATATAAATTATTTAACTTTTTTATTTTATTTTTAAATTTAAATTAGAAACAAGGTTGTTTCACATGTCAATTCCAGGTCCCTCTTCCTTTCCCTCCCCTCCTCCCGTGCCCTCCCACCAACCTTCCCAATATCCCCTCATTCCCCAGGGAGGATGAGGCCCTCAATGGAGGTGTCCATAGTCGGTCATTTCATCCAGGGCAGGACCTAGACCCTCCCCCAAGAGTCCAGGATGAAAGCACATCTCTCATTGTTGGATGGGAGCCCAAAGTCCATTTGTATACCTGGGATAAATAATGATCTACTACCCAAGGCTCAATAGATTACCTAGGCCTCCTCACTGATACCCACATTCAGGGGTTCTTGATCAGTCCCATGCTGGATTCCCAACCACCAGTCTGGGATTCTAGAGCTAACCCCTGTCAGATCAGTTGTTTCTGGGGGTTAAACCAGCCCAGTCTTAACCCCTTTGCTCATCAGTCCTCTCTCTCTGTCACTGGATTTCTTGAGTTCAGCTCAGTGCATAGCCATGGGAGTCTGCCTCTGTTTCCATCTGCCATTGAATAAAGGTTCTGCTTCCCAGAATCTCTGGCCATGGGATTGTAGACTGGCACTCCCTAGATCTATGTCAAAAATCCGTATATGAGAGAGTACATGCCATGTTTCTCTTTTTGTGACTGGGTTACCTCACTCAGGATGGTTTCTTCTAGTGTCATCCATTTGCCTGCAAATTTCAGGATTCCATTCTTCTTTTTTTTCTGCTGAATAGTACTCCATTGTGTAAACGTACCACATTTTCTCTATCCACTCTCGGTTGAGGGGCATCTAGGTTGCCTCTAAGTTCTGGCTGCTATGAACATAATGGAACAGTCATCCTTGTTGTATGAATCGGCATCTTTTGGATTATATGCCTAAGAGTGGAGTTGCTGGGTCTTGTGGTAGGTTTATTCCCATTTATCTGTGGAATCTCCATATTGATTTCCAAAGTGACTGTACAAGTTGGCACTTCCACTAGCAGTGGAGAAGTGTTCCCTTTTCTCCACAACCTCTCCAGCATAAATTGTCATTGATGTTTTTGATTTGAGCCATTCTGACAGGAGTGAGATGGTATCTCAGAGTTGTTTTGATTTGCATTTCCCAGATGGCTAAGGATGTCATGTAACTTTTAATGATGTGGTGATATTTTGATAATTTTATGTTTGTGCTTTTGCTGAAGTGCCCTATCCTATTGATATCAGTAATGCTCTGAATGGTAGCATGAATGTCATTCTTAGACTGGGGAGAAGCAAAGTAGATAAAGCTTTTGGTATGTAACTTTTAAGACCTGAGATGGAAAACCAAAACACATGTAAAACCAGGCTGTTAGTGTGACAATAATGCCTACTTTAACACATCATGTGTACATACACACTGCTCCCACCTATGCACATATAAACACAACACACACACATACACACAAACAGAGACACATACATACTTTCACTTTTTCTGCTTCTTTTATTTTGAATAGTCCTTTGTAATGTGTTATCCTTCCCTTAGCATGTGCTTAATTTGTTATTATTGAAGACATTTAATTTATGTGCTGTCCACTTTTGTTGCAGACTTTCAATTACAAGTGCAGTTCCCTGAGCAAATGTATCAATAGAAACATTTATTTCTCATAGTATTTGTCTAATTCATCTAATTGCCTTAGATGTTGAACTGAAGTTACTAAGTGTACTTTAATTTTCTGAGCATCTCCACATCACTTTCGATATATATTATCCATCTGACATGCATTTCATTCTTTGCTTTATTTTTATATTATAATTTAGTATATTTCTTTCTTCCTTTACATCCCGCAAACTTTCCATGCAATCGTTCAACTCCATAGCCTATGTGTGTATGTGTGTGTGTGATTGTGTGTGTGTGATTGTATGTGTGTGTGTGTGTGTGTGTGTTCACTCTGTATAATGCAACCTGTGTTCATGCTTTCAGTAGCGACCATTTGTCATTGAGCAACAAATTAGTGTGCTCTTCCCCAGGGAAGGTCAACTTTCTAAATCTTGCTCAGACATCATTAATTCATTAGCATGGGTGATATTGATGATGAGTTTTATCCTTTGGAAGAACACAGAGTACCCTCCAGTACTCCCAGTACTTCACTCCCAGTAGGAGTGAAGCTTCTAGTTAGGCACCAGCTCTGCTTCTTTATGTTGGATGGCATGTGTATTCAACGTCATCAGAATGTGAAGACTAACCAGTAGCCTTGGCAACAGCCTGTAATGTTTGAGCGTTTCCATGGGGTCCCTATGGCCAACAACTCAATTAGTTACAGCCTCCTCTTGTTACTGGAGGTTTTATTGATGACATAAGCTGTCTAGTTGGAACTTTGTCTCCCTTAGTATTTGGTGCCTCCATTTAGGTTCCATACATATGCATGCATGTATTTTCAAAAGATTCTATAGAGAATGATTTTACAAGGTTCTTCAAATGGGCTTTAGTGTTATTTTTCCCTCCCCATAACCCCATCTTTATTTATTAATAAACCGATGTAATATATCTATTGTATTTTCAACTTTGTTTCTCCACATCAATACATTATAGTCACTCTTCACTGGAAGATCCTCACACTCCCACCCAAATTCCCTTACTAAGTACCTAATCATTGGCGTTTTTTGGATTATAGCATACCTATAGAAAGAATATCCACATTAGAGTAAACACGCAGTATTTGCCTTTTTGGGTCTGGGTTAATGCATTCAAGATGTTTCTAGCTCCATCCATGTACTCATTTCATTTTAACAAATGCACCATATTCCACTGGCTAAATGTGCAGCATATTCATTATAATTCACCCATTTATGGGTATCTGGATTGTTGTCAAGTGTCTGTGTCTCACTCTGGGTTATAGAAATGTATGGTAGTTGTCAGATCCCTGGTAGAGTACTTCTACCAGGTAAATGGCATTAAGGAATTGGAGACATGAAGAATAGTGAAAAATTTTTGTCCCTACATTTGCTTTACTAGAATTTTCCTGCTTGTGTAATCCCACTCACAAGAGTGTGAAGCAGAAAGATCCTAAATTCAAGCCCAGATTTCATAATGAGAAACATCTCAACAAAAGACAAAGGATCCCCAGGGAAACCAGGCTATTGACAAAGGTTGACAAATTTCCATAAGCTGTCAATAGCTCTGAATTCCTAAAGACAACACCTATATTCTTACTTTGAATATAGAAAACACAAGCTGTTTCCTGTCTAAAGCCTTCATCACTATGCAATAGTGTTTATGGTACTGAAAGGTGCTTTTAATGCTAACAAAAGAGAAAGGTAAACATCAGTTCAAGTACAAACTATCCAGTTTAAAATGGTGACTTGCCTGCAAGCTGTGTTAAGTGCAATAATGTCACAAAACTTGTGAAACTAACCAACCAGTATCTTACTAGATTTCAGACCCAGGCTAGGACATGAAAGCCATCCCACACACTGGTCAGTTAGCCAAGAACTTGAGACCAGATAATCCAGGGATGTAGCACACAACTAAATACTTTTGTTCTGTTCTGTTCTGTTCTTCTAAAGGCATGTAGCATAAAATTACATTCTACTGACATTTTGCCTTATTCATATATCAATTATTTTCTTAGTTGTCACCAGAGAATCTTCATCCTGCAGTAGTTTTGAACAAATACCAAGAACCATTATGGGAAATATGCAGAGAGATCGAAACACTCAGGAGTAAATGGGAGGTCACCATAAAATCTCCCCTGCCCCAGGCTTAGAGAACTCTGTGGAAGGTGTGGTAGAAAGTGTGCAAGAGCAAAAGCAGATGAAAGACAAAAAGAAAATAAGTCCCTTTAACCACAACAGAACCAGTGTAGTATTAACTCCCATAGACTATGATAGGATGCACAGGGACTGGACAGGAATGCACCAGATTGGTGTCTCAGTGCTGAGAGGAGAGGTGAACACGGTCTGCCATCCCTAATATGGAAGCCATCTCCAATTGATAACCACTTGTAAATGAAAACAAAAAAAATTCCTCACTGGGTATATAAAATACTCTTAATAGTAGGCTGCATGTTCAGCAGTAGTTGGCCAGTGGAAAAATCATAAATGGCATCTTTCGAGGTTCTATGTCTCTGTCTCATGCTATTTTGTCAAGACATTTATCTATTTCCTTCTTTATTCCATTCTCTCTTTTGTTGTTGTTTTTGGTTGTTTTTTTAATTTGGTTTTTCAAGACAGGGTTTCTCTGTATTGTTTTGGAGGCTGTCCTGGAACTTGCTCTGTAGACCTGGCTAGTCTCGAACTCACAGAGATCCACTGGACTCTGCCTCCCTAGTGCTGGAATTAAAGGCATGCACCACCAACGCTGGCTCTTTTTCTTGTTATTGCTTGTTTGTTTAACCATACAAGTGCATTCCAAATATATGATGGCTTTTGGTTTTGTTTCTATGGGACTCCTTTGTGTATGAACTTGTCCTGTGTGTCTCTGCATTTAATGTATTTCTTGCACTTTTTCCAAGCTGTTTTCTGTGTGAGCTTTTCTTCTGTTGGTTTATTTTGTAATATTCTGGTTTGTTTGCTTTTTTGTCTTATTTTATTATTTGTACTGACTCTTTCTGTCCTGCCAGTCAGCTCCTAAATAATGAGGTGGAACCTTGTTATTAATTTTGAAAGCTGGGCCTATAGCTAGGGCTTGTCCCACGAGCTTGTATAACTTAAATTACCCCATTTATATTAATCTATGTTCTACCACATGGCTTTTACTTGTATCCCATTCTGAATGTCCAATTCTTTCCTTGTCTGCCTGACTTCTCTGCTTTCTTCCCAGAGTCCACTCTGTGCCTGGAAGTCTCACCTATAAATCTTGTTTACCTTTTAACCACTGAGCTTTTTATTAAACCAATCAGAAAGTGCCTTGCTAAA